AAAAAAACAACGCACAAAATTGACAAATTAAAAGCAAGTGAAAATTCTACTCAAACCAGAAAAATTAGATGAAGGACAGCTATCCAAAAGGAAAACAAGCCGGGCACACAATTAAGCAGAGGAAGCAAAGCAAAGCAGTAACAAAAAAAAAAAAGAAATTAACGGGAATACCGGCTCAACAATTAGAAAGAAAAGGGGTTCAAGGAACAATCGACAAGTCGAGCGCGGGAGTTGGGGTTGGCGCTTGTTTCGTCCGCACTTTCGGGCGCGCAATTATGATTATGGGTGCGTCTGCCTTCACCTCATTTCCCCAACCCCCCGCCCCTATTTGCCCAAAGCACCCCTCGTAAGCACACTTTAATTGTTTTTTATTTCTACTTTTTTTTGTGCTTTCTTTTGAGGGTTGTTGCCCAGTTGCCTGGACGGAAATTCATTAGAGCATTTCGCTAAAGACGCTGAGACTGAGGCTGCGACCAAAGCTGAGGCTGCTGAGGAGGCCGAGGAGCATGTCAAAGCAGTTGCCAAGACGTTTTCTCTTGGCTTTTTCTTCTGCGCAAAAATTGCATTTCTAACAAAACCGACCAGCCCATCTCCACCGGCCACGCCCCTTCTGCCCTAAGTTCAATGGACAATTGTCTCTGCCAGTCGTCCATTTGGTGGACGTATCGTGGCTGTGGCTCCGAGCGGGGCTCAGCAAAAAAGGGCTTCGCATCCTGTGCTGGCGATAAAAAATAAGGACCGCTAGCCAGGCGAGCAAACATAAAAATGCGTTCGCCCTGAAACGGCTTGGGCGGTGGGCGTGGACGGACAGGCACCTAAAACAGAAAGTAATCAACCCACACAGACGCACACACACATACACACACATAGACAGACAGCGAAGGAAGGACAGCGCATAGCTCGCTCTAACCAGACCCCAATCTCAAACACCACAAGCCACCCCCTTCGCTTGACTCCATCTCTAGCTCCACCTCCGCCACCACCACTCATTTGCACAAAACACACCCACAACTTGGCAGCAGGAGTAACTTTTCTATGCACTTAGCGAAAAAACCTAGTAGAATAGACAAAAGTTAATGGATCTTTCGTCATTTGAGCAGGAATTTTTCTGCTTCGAGCACAGAAAATAGAAAATTGAAACATAAAAATTGAATTTCTGATCCAAAAGTCGTTAATAAATGTAGAAAAAGTTCTTAAAATCATATCTAAGCAACAATTTCGTTTTCTTGAAGTGTTCCTTGCGTTTTCCTTCTCTTTTTTTTTTCCATCATTTCTGTTTTCTACGTTTTCATATTGGAGCTTTGTGGAGCGAGTGGGGCATGGAGCGGAGGAGGCGGGCCAGCTGGGAGCTGAGTGCGGGCCTGGCCCTGGGTCTAGGGGGTTCGTTGCTAGCATTGTTCTTGTGCCGCCATGAAAATTAATGAAGAAGTGCCCGACCCATGTTCCAAACGGTCCTAAAACTCCGCTCACTGTCTGACTGACATGCCCGAATCCCCCGACGCGGTCAAGAGGGAACTGGGGCAGAGGGTGGGGGCAGCGTGGGTACTGTTGGCGTTGCTGCTGGTGGGGCAGGGCAGGGCACCCTAAGCTCCAATTGTCGTTTTATTTTTCTGCCTTCAACTTCTAAGGGTGCGTGCCGTATTCTTGGCCAACTCCTGAGCGCTACTCTAAAACAAGCCAAGAAATGTTTTCCTTTAGTTTTCTTTTTCGGAGTAGCCAACATTTATGCGGACTCTTTAATTATTTCCAATGCACAAAACAATTTTAATTAAGCTGTTTAAAGGATTGCAAAACAATTTGGAATGGGGGAAAATTTATCCAGAAAAAAACAATTTTTGGTATTTAAATTAAAATTAAATATTATTAAATAGATTTAATTAAAATTAAATAGATTTGAGAGCAACAAATGAAGAGAGTTTTCTGCCTCTAGCAGAGATCATTCTGAAGTTGTGAAAAATCTATTTTAAAAGTTTCGATCTCTTTTTGTTATATAAATATTATCGAGAGTCTATATATTATAGATGATCTGCAAGTGCTAAGTATTCCTTGAGTTTACGACTTATATATTAAAATAATATAATAAATTATGGATTGTTTTAAGATCTATATATAAAACTGAAAAAACGTTTCATTATTGAGATATTCATATGAAAAATAAATTCACATAATATATAATCATAAAAAAAAATTTAGTATAAATTTATAAAATATTTCTAGAAACTTATTTAGGTTTCTTCTGAAAGACTTGACGAATTTTCGAGTTATATCAAAAGCAAATAATAAAATATAACATATCCTTCTTCTGATCCCCTTAGATCTTTTATAGCAAATGCTGCATTTTGAATGGACTTTAAATCAGACTCGATGGGTCACAAAAAAAAGGGCAGATAGAAAATAAAGGGTGCTGCCCATTTTTGGTTTTTTCTCTTTTGTGGGACCACAGACAATGTCTACGAACGAGACAGATAAAATGGCAAATGTGGAATGGCAAAAGGCAAGAGGAAAACCAAAAAAAAAGAAGAAGAAGAAAAAACAAAAGGCGAATGTTTAAAACGAGAAACGATTTGAGCAAACAAACGTCGCATTGGTTAAGCCAAGCCCGGCGGACAGGATAGTCGCAAAAAAGGACACACACGTGCCAGAGGGTGTGAGTGGGTGTGTGTGTGTGGGTGTGTGGGTGTGCAGGTGTGTGTGTGTGCCGAGAACTGTCCACGTTTAGAGGTGCTTGCCGTTCCGTTGCCCGTTGCCTGCTTTTTTTTCGGCTGGCATACTCATGCAACGGCCGCTAGATGGCGCCAGACGTGGCGCGACGCCCACAGATGGAGGCGGGAGGTCAGCACTGGGGCTGTGGCTGTTTGGGAGGCACTGATGACGACGCCTTTGCTTTTAGCTTGATTGCCAAGCCTAGTTAACTGTAAAGTTTTATAACTTTGCCCAGCTAGCAAGGACTACCCGACTCCCTATGCCCCTGCCCCGTGCAGCGTGCGCCCGCCGCCTTGCGGGTGTTAAAATCGCTTGGTTTATTACACGCGCCATCGCAGCCCTTGGTAAAGCTCCCACAGCTGTGCGGGCCACACACATTGTCCCGTCCTTAACAGCAACGACGTCACTCGACCCTTTTAAAAAGTCGTCAATACTTGGCATGCACACCCTACCCCAGCCTACCCTACCCTAACCCCATCTTGAGCCCACGCTCGACCCTTCCTGTGCCTCTGGCCCACCCACTTAGCGATTCCCGTGTACCGTGCAACGGCCTCTGAACTTTGCCAGCAACAACGAGGACAGTCGAAGGACGAGTCACAGACCGACGCCCAGGCGTCTATCAAATTCCAATTTCGGTCCGTTTTTTGTATACCCTGCGTGGGCAATCAAGGCGGGTATGTTGTGCGCATGCACCTCAAATATATATTAGTTGAGTTGGCTTAGTCAAATCTGTTTCTCTTTCTGTAAAGAGTTTGTTAGCAGTGACTCAGCCGCAGCGGTCTACGGGGTATTTGGTAGTCGTGCATGCTCAGCTGGAGGACATTTTTTGTGCCTCTACCGGCATTCAAAGTTTATGGCGTCTTTTTAGCGTAAATCCTGCATGGGTAACCGGCAGCCCGTAACCCCTGCAGCTAACCTAAGCGCGTCCTATCCGTTCCCGCTCCTTTACCCTGTGAACAACCTTTTTACTGGGCCGCCACTGGACCATAGACTAAGAACTACCTTCCTAAAACAGAGACAGCAGCTTCTACGTTTTGTATAGATCGAGGGTAAGGGAAACGGAATTGGATTGCTTAGGCTGATCCTGTTTCCATTTAACTCTCGCCCAAACAAACCTCAAATTTTCAATCAGATTTTTCTGTCACAATTGCCACACTCAAAATTGTTGTTGTAAAATAACTATGAGGTGGTTAGATAAATATATATAATAAATATTTATTGTTTAAATAAATATTTATTATATAAATATTATATGTATATGTTTTACAGACTTCAATCAAAGAACAATAGAGAGAGAAAGTTTAAGGTTTGCTTTATTTTAAATAGTATAAGAAGTTGTATTTAAGGTATTCGAATTGAACCATTGCTTTACATATATTTTTCTAGTTCTAAAAAAATTTTATAAATATTTTCAATATGTGTCCTTACGAAAAATTTCACAATTTCAATCAAATATTAAATCTCTAACGCCTTAGCATTTGTATCATACCAGATATATCATTCACTGAGTGAAAGCAGCCGGAAAAATCTTAACACTGTATAAGAAAAGGGTGCCAAAGAGTCAAGTCTCTAGCTGCAAGAGAGGCGAAATGCCGTGTGTTCTTACGGACGGACGGACGAGCAATTCGATGGACGGACTGACAAACAGTCGAACGAACGGATAGGCGTAGAGTCGGGTGACCGGACATACAGACGCACAAACGGATAGACGTAGAGTCGGGCGAATAGAAGGCTGGTCTAAAGGCTAGTCTAAAGGACAGTCGGACGTTTCAATTCCTGTGAGAATATAAAAACTTTGACCGAATAATTGTCTGCGCTGCGAGTATTAAATTCCATTTGGTGCTCGAAACTATATAGTATTGCTATTGGAATAGTATATATTATATATTGTTATTATATGAAACTTGATTTTGTATGTGAATCTCGAAAAATCGAGTAGATTGTTCCAGGAAATTTATTTTGATTCATAGTCGAGCTTAACGAATTTCAATGGAATAAAACTAAATAAATATTTTATAAATATTTGTTTTGGGTTTTTATACATAAAATATACATATATTTTTTTATATATACATATATATATATATATATATATTTATATATATATGTGTACATATGCCAATCAGTTGAGAAGCGCGCAGCGATAACCTCTAGAGAACAAGTTTGCGCTCTTCTGGCTGGAACGTTTCTATATAAAGTGTATATGCATCTGATTGTAGCTATATATTCAGTCGTTCAGCTCGCACTTATATAGATTGTATATAGTAATTCCTTAGCTAGAGTCTATTTAGGGGCAGCCCGCTTCAGCGCTGATCTCAGTTTCGATTCAACATTCGCAGCATGAAAGGTGTCAATTATTTTGTGCTCTGCAGCGGCTTTTGCCTGTTGGCCCTGGAGGTAGGTCAGTTTGTATTAAGTTGAGTGCTCACTGACGTCATCTTGCTTATCTCAGCTAAGCAGCGCAACGAGCAGCAGCAGCAGCAGCAGCGGGATTAATGAAACACCCAGCGTTGCTCTAACCCGTCAAGCCATCGAGCTGGGCATGGAGCCAGCGGCATTGGGTGAATTGTGGAGAACCAAGCAGCCGGTGATAATCAGCAAGCCGGACGCCCAGGGTCAGATGTATACGACGACCTACACGCTCTCGCCGGATGGTCAGAACATAAGCAAGACTTCCAGCAAGGAGGAGCTGCCGACGACTACGCCCGCAACTCAGCCAACAGCCAAGCCCTCGGAGAATCCCCAAACCGACTGGGAATACCTGCCTTCGAGTGTGGGCAATCGACGCACCTTCACAATGGGCGGCAGTTCGCCGTTTGACGAGAATTGGCCAAGTTTTCGTGGCTGGCCCAGCCTCGACTTTCCAGCTGGCATCACGCCGCAGACAACCACCAAGACGGAAAAGGATGATCAAGGACGCACAGTGACCACAACGATCAAGACATATAATGGACCGCTGGGCAGCAGCAGCTGGACAACGGGCACCGATCCCAAGCCGAATTGGCCCAGTTTTGAGTTTCCAGTGGGCGTTGTTCCACAGACAAGCACCACAACGGAGCAGGATGATCAGGGCAGGACGATTACCACAAGGACGCGCACATACAATGGGCCACTCTTTAGCACCTGGACAACAGTTGGTGGCAATGTTGGAGGCGGCTTGCCCGCCAGCTGGCCAGCATCCAGTCCTCCCCTATTTAATCATGGTTTGCCTCGCTGGTTTAAGAATCCTCATTTCGTGACTGGAGTTGATGGAGCTGCAGCAGGGCCTGGAGCAGGAGCTGGAGTTGGAGTTGGAACTGAAGCTGGAGAGATGCCCAGCTTGGTGCCCAGCTTGGTGCCCACGAGTACAGTGAAACCTGCGCCCGTGCCCACGCCTTATCCCTTCCCCACCCGCCAGCCAGACAGCAGTCTGCCACCATTGCCCACAGCTCCGCCCAAGCCGTTGTCCAGCTTGGACGACACTCTCAGGCCGGTGAGCAACATCAATCTGGACGAGCTGCCCGTCACAAAAATTAGCTATCGAGGCAATTTCAACTCGATTGAGCCAGTGAAGACGGCCGAAATGGACCCACAAGTGAGGGATATGTTGGAACGTGGCGGCATCACCGACAACGACATACACCAGGCCAAGGAGCTAGGCAGCGATATAGTGCGCACGCGAGTCCTGCCCGATGGCAGGACAATCAGGACAACGGTGCGCGTCAACAATTGGACGGCAGCTGCCGCACCTGTAGCGCCCGCACCACTTGCACCACCACCCCCTAGGGATAGCACAATAGAGAACTTCTTGGCCCAGGTGCATCTAACGCCAACGGATATCAGCAATCAAAACGGGGAACTGGTCAAAACGATTGTCGACCAAAATGGACGCGTCTTGAGCGTGAAATTTGTGCTCAGCAATGTGAAGGGAGATGAGGGCCAGGGCCAGGCGCAAGAGCAGCCAACCAAATAGACGAGTAAATGGACTTAGGCTTAGCGAATTTTCATGAAAAATGTGAATTGTACATTAATAAATGTGTATGTATATGTGTGCATATATGTATGTATTCAATCTATCAAATCGTAAACAGTAATCAGTAAATGCTTATCAGCGCGGGCTTAACCCAGAGCAAGTCTGAGTAAGAAGTGTTTGAATACATTTGATTTAGAGTGCCCGACTAGAAAATACCCTGTAACTGGCTTACAGTTATATATACACATATACATTGACTGAGAAAGAACTATATGTTTAATAACAATCTTTTACTTACTGAGCCAATATCGTAGGCCGCTAGCTGTCTAAGATTTCTCTCATTCAAATGCTCAATTTTCCGGCTCACAAATACTTTTTGGGCAGTAAGATGCAAGGCTAATAAAATCAGACGATCTATCTTCAGAAAGTTGTTCTCATTGATCAAAACTCTTTTATCAATTTAATAATCCAACTTAAAGACTTTTGAAAATATTATTATATATTGAACTTGTCATTGGAATAAAATTTGCATTTGTCCTTGACTCCGATGCCAACTAAAGAGTTGCACAGGAATACCCTATAGACAAGTCATAGCAATAAAAAAAATATAATTTAAAACAGCAGAGATAAGGTGGGAGATGTTATGGATGCTGTTTAATCATTGACTGAATAGATTGTTTACTGTAAACCAGAAAAAGCTTTAGAAAAAGCTTAAGCTTTATCATTAAATTCATATAACATCGTATTTCGTTTGGAATTTTGTATTGCTATCTCAAATATTTAATACTTTGTCAAATATTTCAGAGAATAATTGCAATTTGTGTACAAAAAATTCTAAAACTTTTCTTTCAACAAATTAACTGAAATTCTGACAGATTTCTTAAGCCAAAAAATCAGAATTTTAGTAAAATCATTCTTAAACACTTATACTAAATATTGTGTTACAAACATATATAAAATATAATCCTAATAATAAATAAAGTTTAGAAATTGGACAACTCAGCAAAAGTATAAAAATGTTAAGATCGAAAAAATATTATATATATTAAAAATTTAATATTCGTAATAAACGTAATTCAGATACATTAATAAATATTATTATAATATATTAATATTAATTAATATTTTTTGATTTATATTAAATGTTTATATATAAAAAAAAAATATCTATAAATCTCAATAATTTATTGTAGCATACTTAAAGCGTGATAATTACTTACCTCACCTGTTCGAAAACAGAGAACACCTGTATCAAATACTATGCAGCTACGAAAGCAGTCAAAAATAAACTAAGCGCATGGAATTTCAATATGAATAAGCAAACTAATTTATTACATATTTCTTCTGCTTCTTCCTCTTTTAGTTGTTAAATACAAAGGGCAGAAATATGCGTTTTATACACAAAATAAAATAAGCATTAAAATTTGTGTTTTACTAATTTATTACATTTGTTTTTTCTTCGCTGGACTTGCGTTAATAACTGAGCTGGAAAATAACAAAAAAAATAAAAGAAAAAAGAAAGAAAACAAAACAAAATTATATAAAATACAATACAACAAAAAAACAATTAAATACTAAATAAAAAATAAACAAAATACAACAAAAAGCATTGCATTAAGCGTGTTAACAGCGTTATTAAAGCATAGAAAAAATAATGAAAAAAATATAAATATAAAAAATAAATTAAATGGAATTGAATTTAAATTCCAAAAAACAAACAAATATATATAAATAAATATTTAAAAAAAAAACTATTGCGTAATTTTGCGTTTTTTTGTGGCCGAAAATTGTTGTTGTTGTTGGAGTTGTTGTTTTTTCGATTTTGTTTTTGTTTTTTGGTTGTTCTGTCTCGCTCTCTCATTAGCTCAGTTACATTGCGATAGATGCGTTAGATTTATAAGCCAAGCATGTCATAGAAAAAAGAAACTAAATTAGTAAAAAATTTGTTGTCGATCAATTGTGAATTACAAAAAGTGCTTAGATAGTAAAATTTGTAAAATTAAAACTAATTATTGAACTGTAATATAAAATGTATATTATATAAATAAAGAAATATCTTCGAAGCGCCCGAAGCTTTAATACACTTGCAGAATACGCAGCGAAATGATCAAAGATGAAGTGTAAAAATTATTTTTAGATTTAGATCAAAACCAAGAGCTCTCAATACCAAAAGCATAAGTTATCTAACTATTCCGCTCACACTAACAGTTCCGCTCACACAACGTCTTGCGCCTTGCTTAAAAGCACTTATCATGTTGCGTTTTGACTTGAGTGCAATAGCCATATGAATGCAGCTTATCCGCTCCTTTTATCCATGACAAGTACACTCATTTAAAACGAGATCAAAAATAAGAACGCAAATGGCAACTTTCTCACTCACACAACAGCAATGGGTTGCTTGCCATTCGCTCCCTCTTGCTCTGAGTGCAAAAGTGTAAAAATAGATCAAAACAAACAGCGTGTATGTGTGATTGCGCCATCTTCCACGCTACCGTGGACACTCCTCATAGCAGCTCACCCACTCGCACATATTAATTCAGCACATTGCTCGCTCCGCAAATTTAATGCATCATCTCCCTTACTCTCAATAGCAATTCTCACACTGCGCATAGACTCATTCTATCAACGCTGAGATCGGATATTAAACATACACACCACCTATATGAATTGAGTGTTACGGATAACTTGAAGAAAAGAACTCTCTTAGTAATTCATATGTTGTGCGCTCTGCAAGGGTATGCAAAAAGGTTGCTCTAAGGGCGATTAACTAATTAAAAAGCTTTGCCTACGAATACTTTAAAAAACCGAAAGCATAAAAAACAGTATTATTATTAAACTATTACAAAGGACATAAATATTTGAAAATTTTGCTTGCATATTTGATTTTGCTTAATTCAGCGAATTTTATTGTGTTATCGCTCAACAATGGTCAAAAAATAGTAAAAAGGATATTTATGTATGTATAAATAAATGTATGCGATTTTTTTTTGTTATTAATAGAAATTAATATGCGCCAAAGGCATTTAAATTGAATCAGAATTTAATATATACTGGGAAAAAATTGCAAATTGAATTTTGTATAGAATAAAAAGTGATTTTGCAATTTGTTGTTTATGGCAATGCGTTAATATTATTCAAATTTAGGTAAATGTGTAAAATGTGGGTAATTGTGAAATTTAATATATAATTATATAAACAATCATTAAGAATCAATTGTCATTGTAATAATAATATAAAGATATAGAACTTTTAACATTATAAATATATAATGCAATATTTTAAAACTTAATTTTTAACTCTGAACATATATAACTGTGACGTCACCTTACGACTGTAGCTTTATATGCACTCCTTTACAAAAGTAAAGCATATTGAAAGTGTATAAGTACAAATATGTTATAAAGAAGAATAACTGAACACAATATAAGAGATCATATTTGTCTATAAATAAAACTTCATATATATAATCATATACATATATATATATATATATATATATATATATATATATGTATTTAGAAATAATTGCTTGTTACGCTTTATCCGAACTCATTTTAAGAGCTTTTGTGAAGCTCTTATAATTTCTTATGATCTACTTCTTGCTGTCCTGCTCTCTCTTTCTCGTTATTATGTAAAGTGTATAAAGAGAGTTCAGTTCTCGCTCTTATAAATTAGCACTTCTAATTGCTTTTCTCTCTCTTTAAGTTCTTTAAAGCGTATATTTAAAATCTTTACTCACCAGATTATCAAAACGCAGAGCATCCTCGTCGCTTAGGCCCATGCTCCGAGTGAGCTGCAAATATGTGGATGTTATTGGCTTAAGGCGCTCCAAATCGAGCGGCGGCAACGGTTGCTGCGTTGAGCCGCCAACGTCGGCGCCGCCGCCGCCGCCTCCGCGCAGCACCACCTGCGGTATGCGCAGATCAGCTGACAGTGGCAGCGGCAGCGGCAGCGGCAGCGGCAACGTCTTTGGCGGACTGGGCAGCTCCAGCTTGAGCGGAGCAGCAGAAAGGGGCGTGGATGTGGTTGGGGGCTTTCCATTGCTGGAGCTGGAAAATGAGGATTTTGTTAGATTGATCGGAGTATGAGGTGCTGAGACTGTTGCTGCTGCTGTTGCTACGGCAGCTGGGGCGGTGGGCGTGGCAGTTGGTGAGCGTGCACAAGAAGAAGTCGATCGAGGAGGGGAGGAGCCAACGCCAGCAGGCGTCGGCTTGCTGACTGTGGTGGTGCTAGGGCTGCTGGTGGTGGTTGTGGTTGTTGGATAACTGAGACTCTGCAGCAGGCTGCTGCCGTAGAGAGGCGGCGCTAGGACCGGTTGAGTCAGCAGCGAGCCGCCAGCATAGAAGCGTCTCATGAAATCGTAATAGCGGACAAGATTATCGCGTGACTTGAGCAGCTGCAAGTCGAAGCTGGGCAGCTGTGCGGCTGTTGGAGCCAGCGGCTCCACGGGCGGACTTAACGGACGCTGCAATTGGGGCTTGACTCTTATCTTGGGCACGCCCACCTCACACGGCGCCTCGTCAGCCGCCTCAGCAAGCGACACAGCAGTGGGACTTGTTGGAGGTGGTGGTGCAATGGCATCCAACTGGCTGGCACTAGCACTGCTAGCCACCGATCCACCAGCGCTAGCAAGCGCCAGTGTTGCATGCGCCTTGAGATCGGCGCTCGAGTGACGCCGACGCTTGGCCGTCGGACCCGCCTCCAGAGAGCTCTCCGTATGCGAGGAGTAATTCATATAGGTCTCCACTTCCGAGGAGCTCTCGTTGCCAGCCAGCTCTTCCTTGAAGGCAGCCGAAGGCGAAGAGGGGCGAAGGTTCTTCTTGCACTCGGGGCAGATGGTCAGAAAGCGAGTGACTGCCTCGCGGGGCAGAAATGCATAGGTCTCGGTTATCTGAAGAAGATGCAGAGGGAGAGGCAGTGGGAGAAAATCATTAGATGAAGTTTAAAAACTTGTAATATAATATTCTAATGCTAATGCTAATGCTAATGATAATGAGAATAATAATGACAATATCAATGATAATACTAATGATAATAATAATGATACTGCTTATGCTAATGGTTATGCTAATGATAATACTAATGATAATACTCTCATAAGAATGCTAAAGCTAATGCTAATGATAATAGTAATGCTAATGATAATGTTAATGCTAATACTAATGATAATGCTAATGCTAATGATAATGCTAATGATAATACTGATGCTAAGGCTAATACTAATTATAATGCCAATGCTAATGCTAATGATAATACTAATGATAATGTTAATGATAATGATAATGTTAATGATAATGCTAATGCTAATGCTAATGCTAATGCTAATGCTTTTACTACTGATAATACTAATGCTAATGCCAATGCTAATGCTAATACTGATGCTAATGCCAATGATAATGCTAATAGGAATGATTGTGACTCATACGCTACACTCACAATGCGATAGGTGCGCTTCTGTCCCGCGTGCATGCCACTGCGTCCGCCCAGCTCCATGTGCACATTGTAAATGATATCGAAGAACTCCTCAACGCAGGCGACCTTTCGATAGATGCGACGGCCGAAATCTTTGCTCTTGGAGGCGGCAAACAAATCCACAGCGCCGGGATTATCCGAGAGCACAGCCGTGCTGGACAAAGGCTCGTAGCGACGTCGACTACCAGGCGCTTCCTCAAAGCCATCTGGACGCTTGGTCGTAAAGCCTGCAGCAATGTAGGCGAAGGTTAGGCTAGGCCACTGAGGAGTCTCTCTGTAAAGAACTTACCCTTTGTCTTCACCCAGAATCGAAACTTGGAGCTATCTGGCCGACTGTGCTCCTTGCCCTCGAGCGCCTTCAGGATGCGCACCTTCTTGCGCAACGTTATCGTCTTGGTCTTTGCCTGATCCCCATAGGTCTTGAGCGCCCACGGCTGGAACAGCTCGTAGATCACCTCCCGCTCGCTGGCCAATTTGCCCAGCGACAGGGGTTGCTCTAGCGGCTGCTCACCCACCTCATCCACATCCGCATCGTAGGCCGTCTCCGGCTCAGGCTTCGTCCGTGCCGCATGCTCATCGTGCTCCTCTATCGCATAGAGTTTGCGCTTGTTGACACCACTCTCTGGCAGGCCGAGCGCCGAGCATTCTGCGGACGAAGCCTGATCGTGACTGTGCGTACGATGACTGCCATTGGACTGATCCATGGGAGCTACAAAACTCAGACGGCCTTTTACTTAACAAAAAACTCTTTCGATCAGGGCAAAGTCCAAGCGATAAAGCAGCGCATTGATTGAATAAAGAATTTCGGAGGAAATTTTGGAAAATGATTTTTAGAATATTGGGCTAAGCGGAAAATGATATTTCTTCATGGAGCTGTAAAAAAAAGAGAAATATATTGATTAGGTACCTTGTCAAGTGCTTCAAGTTCCATTTGCCTGAATCTAAATTTAATTTCATTTCAATTGGCTAAACAAGTTAAAAAATTAAAAAAAAAAAAAATAAGCTAAGTTAATGTTTTATTTACATTTCTTTTCGTGTAGGCCAAGGTTCTAATACCGGCTGTTTGCTTAGATTTAAGACTTTAAGGATAATATTTATTTCTATTCTAAGTTCTTAAATTAAACATAAGATTCCTTTAGTCCAAATTCGAGTTTAGTGGTTCATGGTTCTAATCCCAATGAGCCGAGTAGTCATAATGGCACAATCTTAACTGAAATCTAACAAGTTTTTTTATTTAATTCAATTTAATCTTAACTTGCATTTATAATCTTAATTTGCGTTTATTTCTCCACAATTTAAAAAAAAAATATTTTAATAGGGTATAAAGGTTCTAACCTCATTAAACCAGGTAAAACACTGCGTTAGAAAGGGACTATTTAAAATTGTTTAAAATTTAATTTTCAGCTAAACGTTACTTTTATTAATATTTGTTTTTCAGAATGTTTTAAATTCGCTTATTATATGGCCATGCTTCTAATCCCACTTATTTCATCATTAGCTGAAGTTAAGTGAAAGTTTCGCATTTGAACTATGCGGTTTAGGTCTATCATATTTTTAATTATTAAAAATGTCATTAAAACATTATCTTTGCAAATACTATTCAGCGGACCAATGTTCTAATCCCATTTGTTTCTGATTTTAAAAATTTATTGTATTAAAATTTCTGTCTACAACTTGATCATATTTTAAACTAAAAGTCTTCAGCTTGGCTTGTCTTTTTTTTTTAAATACTTCAGCATAGAGTGCACAGGTTGAAACCTCTAAAAGTTTTACTTAAGCAGAGATTCAGCCATATTTTGTATTAAAACCTGGGCAAAAATTAAGCAAAAATCTATTTTTTTATCACAAAAAATTCTTAAGCTAATTTACTTAGGATTGTAGCTTAGTGTGTCAAGGTTCTAATCACGGTTTATGGCTCTTCACAGCACTTAATCACATTGAAAATGATTTTAAAATTAAATTGTTGCACGAAACTCAAACTTCTATTTAAAACTTTTAACTTTAAAACTAGTTTTTTCTTCATATATTTCAGCTTTATTTTTACTTTTCACTTACTTCAAGGAAAACTCTTCAAAACACAATTTTTAACAATTAAAGCGAATTTAACAGAAAATTTGTAGTATAAAACGAAATTGATTTAAAGAAACAAAACAAAACGCGACGACTCGTTCGTCCTTTAACAGCAAAACAAACAACAACAATAAAAAGTGCGCGACGCGACCGAAATGAAGTTTCAAACACAACTGATCTGCGATGGGTCAGACGAGAGTCCAGTCCAGTTGCTCGAGGATGCTGAGTGGATCAGACGGAATCGGGTCCAGTCGAAGACAGGCGGCAAACCGGTTCGGCATTTGACCGCACATCTTTGAACTGCCCAAGTCAAGTTAATGAAGGCAGGCAGCAAGGGGGTAGCTCAACAGGCAATGCCAATCGTACAGGGTATAGCTAACCCTTAAGCCTACCTCAATAATTGCGCAATTGCTAAGGCTGGGCATGGGCCAACCCAGTGAACGCTCAGGCTCAATATGAAACGTCTTTTGCGCTTTTCAAGAAACACTCACGCTCTCACTCGCACTCTCCTGCTCCTATATCTAGCGCTCTCCCTCCCTCTCTCTATTTATCCTTACCTCTCTAAACCCACCCGGGTTTAGCTTGGCGTATTTTGCATTTTTCCTTAGCATACTTTTCGCTGCGAGTGTCTCATATTTCTTTACATTGAAATATTTGACGCTCTTTTTTTGCTTTTGAGACGCCCGCACATGTTATTCCCTTTCGCCACCCTGTCACACCCCCATGTTGTGCCGCTTGTTGCGCATTTTTGTTAACCTTGAAGCAGGCATTGTCCTTGCTTTGCTTTATTCTACTTTGTTTACTTTGAAAGTCATGAAGAAGTTGTGGGTATTATTTGAGCCGCACGCTAAAGTTGGCTGATTTGATGGTGAGAAACGTTTGAATTCTTAAATGGTTAAAAGTTGTAATATATATATATTAATTTATATATTTGTAATTTATAGAAATTATTATTTATTTATTGCGCGATTATTATATTAACACTATGAATTATTAGTCTGTTTCATAATCTGAATAATAAGTCAAATTCTTGGTTACAAAAACCAGCTAGCCAGTATTGTTATTTAATATAAAAAATAGGTAGAATAGAATATAATTTCTTACAATTTTTATAAATTTTAAACATTATTTTCTGCTCAACATCTCCTAGCTTTCCCGCAATTCCCTCTCAATTACTTTTAACATTTTTCGTTCGCGCTAAAAAGTATGCTACACTTTTTTTAATGTGCGCTCGTCTTATGCTGGGACCTCCGTCTTTTTACTACACTTTCTTTGGGGTGAGTTGTCTTGCTTGGTTTATCTCGTTAAGGGTTAGGCTATTTGTTTTCATTATACTACGCGTGTGTTGCATAGAAGTCCTGAGTGCTGATTGGTTGTCACTGTCCCAGTCCAAGCGAAGCCCCTGGCCGCCCTGTTCGTCTTGTTTATGTGACTTCTGTCTGCAGCTCAGCATCGGGCCAAGCCGAAGTTCAACTTAATTGCTGGACCCGTTTAAAGCAAGCAGCAAAAACTGGATGTTTTTGCATAAAATCGAGTTGTTTTCTGCCGCCAAAATATGTCAGCAACAAATGCATCAGTTTTTCAGTATTAACCGGTTTTTGTAACGTACTTTTTTTTTGCTTCACAAGTTTTGTAACGTTCACTTAAGTTGCTCGTAACTAAGCCACAGCGGTCATTGCTTTTTGTCTTTGATGGGATTAGCCAAAGAAGGTGGCATGGGTCATATATTTATCATTATGAGCTGAGAAGTCAGCAAAACTACAGAGAAAATCAATCTAAAATTTAGTTTGAAATAATATTAAATTTTATTAAAAAATTTGATTTTGCTTAAGAAATTTTGTTATATTATAAATTATGAATATTATTATAAAATTGAAAGTATTGATGGAAGTTATACATTGTGGGGGAAAGGTGAGGAAAGATGAGAATGTTAAATTAAATAATTTTTTGTAGTATTTTTTTTAACGAGCTTAAAGTATAAATTTCTAATTAATAAATTAATTAAGATCTGTTGAAGATGAAATACATTAGAAAGGTGAAGTTGTAAGTCGCCTTACTAGCTAAATTAATATAGCAATGTCTGTCAGTCTGTTTGTTTGCAGTTGCCAATCTTTTGTGTTTCTCTTGATAGAGAAAATTTGTTCAAAATAGAAAGCTAAGCAGAAACTGTTTTTTATTCTATTTCTTCAGTATTTCTATTTCTTCAGTATTTCATTCCCTTTATTAAAAATTTCGACTATCAACATATAATATGTGAATACTTTACAAATGAAGCGAAATGCTTGATTCAAAAACTAATCAATTCGGTCAATTATCATCATAACATATCCCTAAAGGCAGATACCACATGAGCTATAGATAGAGCAGTTCAGTTGCCAAGCTGTCACATTTTTTTAAACAAAACTAATACACTCTCTTTAGATCCCACCCATTCCTATAGTTATAGATAATAAAACGAAAGATATATGACATAAGAGTGTCATTCACTAACCTTTTGATGCCAACTCCTACACACAGACAGACATTTGGACCGCTTAACTTCCAGTAGCTAAACATGAGCTGATGTTTCAGCTCATTAAGGACTGCATCTAATCGTTTATGCATTGAAATTGGCAGTCACTTGTGAAAAAATCAATGCATGTCTGAGTAATCGATGCCGCCTAATGGAATACCTAAGCTAATAGGGCCGCCAACATGGGGCAACACAAGCTGCAGCTGCAGCTGCAGGACGTCAGGCAGAAAGCACTGCGAAGGCGTGCTCCTTGGAGGACAATTAGTGTTGGGCGAGCTTCGAGGCAAACAATGCAGCAGAGGCCGTTGGCCATTTGGTGAGCTAATGTTTGGCAGAGGACGTCTTTTGGCATTTGGTTAGCAATTAGCCAACTGGCCAAATAGCATGAATAAATCGCTGACTAAGTGGCCCAAGTCCAAGACGTTGCCGCCTGCCTCCGTTTGTAGTGGTTTGGGTTGAGGCAGAGCAGAGACTGCAATGCAGGACATTTTTTTGGGAAACAAGTTTTCGTTTGGATTTTGTGTTTTTTTGTCGGGAAACTTTCTCACGCTCAGCATCCGTGGCAGGACATGAAACTTTTATAAAAATCTTCTGAACTTTCACATCAAAATTTCAACAGTTTTCGTTTAGCCCAGAAACATATACAGCAAAAGGATCTGTGATCCATGGCCAGGCCGGTTTTTTAAACTGGACACAGCATCGCATCAGACGTTGAACTTTGACATCCATTCCGGCCAAGATGCTACAACCCCTTTTCCATCCTCTCATTCTATTTTGGTCAACCAGTTTTGCAATCTGGACGCTGGTCACTCCTTGGGGTGGTTTCCGAGACGAGATGCTGTCGCTTTGATCCGCAATCTTTTGCTTGGCCCGCATGCTCTGCTCTTTTGAGATATATCTTCCTCCTTTTTTATTTATTATTTTCGGCAGAGATAATGTCCAGTTTGTTGTGTGTTTTCTGTGTGTGTGAAAAGGAATGGTCCAGAAATGTACTCGCAATTTGAATGCTTAGTTTTCGATGGGCTGATCTCGCTTTTGGCTTTTCCAGTTGTTGTTGCTCACGTTCTTGTTGCTGTTGATGCTGTGCCAAAGGACACCCATAAAAAGTCCACACATCCTTTG